AGAATAAGCCATAGGGCCCATTCTACAGTGGATAAGGGCACTTATTATCCATAGCCCTGTCAGCTGTTGGGCGGTTGCCCAGCAGACAGTTCTCCAGCACAAGAAACAAACAACAAGATGTCAAAAAACAAGTTTCCCAGAACTAGGGTGGGAGGATGAGAAATTCAGTCGGGTTCCCTCAACTGTTCCTGACGACTGGTGAATCTCCTCTCCCCATATCTCCTTAAACCCATAAAAATGTGCAACACTTTTTAATCTAGCTAATAATCCATGGGCACGAGTCATGCTCCCCCTACCAACTTGTCCAGGAGTAAACAGAGACGCAGCTTTAAAGAATAATTGAAGAGAATATTATTAAGGTCTGTAACGGTGTTAGAAAGAAAAAGTAAATGTTAAAGTTAAAAACATAACAGATAAAAATATAAAGGACATTATGAAGAATAAGGGGTAGAGGATAGGAGAAGAAAGATTGTAGGAATATTTTTTTAAACTGAAACTCCTCTTAACTATATGCTATCAAAGATTTGTATATATCACATGTTAGTTGCACACTTTTTGTTCCACTCTTTGTATTCCAGCTTTCGATTGGAGTTTTGCCTTTTCCAATTAAATCACCTAATTTCCATATCTGGACCATACTGACCAAGTTATCATACAAAGGTTATCAAGGCTATGAGAATGACCTCTTTAGCAGTGATTCTATGCCTATTTCTAGCTGTACCTACAGCAGGTAAGATCTTTTATCAAAATACCACAAATAGCCCACATACATAAACGTAACACCACAGACATCCCCACATACCTGAATACCGCAAAAACAGCAACCACACATACGTAACACAGGTAGCCCATTTTAATTTCTGTTCCTCACTGAACATACTGAGATATGAAGAAACACTACACTTGCTTTATTGTAACATCTAGAGTTTAAGGCAAAAGAATCAGCAACCTATGGAACTAGATGCCTTTGTATGGCAGGCAAGCCTGCCAGACCAGTTGGGGAGATCAGGTGATCTTTCTAGCTCACCCATAGCACCCCAGTGCCCATACATTAAGGAAGCCTGTTGTGGTGTGTACCTCCAGCAGGTGCAGACAACACAGGTAACTCTACCTCACAATGTGGTGCTTCTCCATGATTCAGAGCATTGCAGAGCTACGTCTCAGGAAAAGCTCAGAACGGAGACAGCCGTACAAGTGGTCTGCACCCATAGAAGTTGCAGACCACAAGATCCACACAGAGAACCTCCAGGGATTAATTTAAAGGGACTCTCCAGTGCCAGGAAAACAATCCATTTTCCTGGCACTGCAGGTCCCCTCTCCCTGCCACCTCCCAATCCCCAGTTGCTCTTCAGCAGGCCTGTCACAATTGTCTCAAACTCCTTTGTGAGTTTAGGGGAGTCAAAAGTTGGAAGAATGTTTCTAAGGATTGTGTGTTTTATTCTGGTAGAGAGGAAATGCATGCGCATTAGGTCTCCCCGGCCGGTGATGTAATGCAGAGGAGGAGCGGCGGTGACCAGAAACCACCGCCGCTCCTCTTCTGCATTACATCGGCCAGTGAGTGAGACTGATCCCGCCCACCGGCCGGGGAGACCTAAGGCACATGCCGGCGCGGCCCAGCCGGTGATGTAATGCAAAGGAGGTGCGGCAGTGACCCGAAACCACCCCCCGCTCCTCCTCTGCATTACGTCGGCCGGTGGGTGAGACTGATCCCGCCCACCGGCTGGGGAGACCTAATGCGCTTGCGCGGCAATGCCACGCATGCGCATTAGAGCTCCCCATAGGAAAGCATCAGACTGCTGCGTTCCTGTTTTACCCTCAACATAGAGCCTCGTCTCATGTGTGTGGGGGAAAAGGCTACATCTACACTGGAGATTGCTATACGCAGTATACTCCACTGGCTATAATCACTAAGTTCTTTTAAGAGCTTGTTCCTGCTTCGCCCTCTGAAGGAAGAGAGGTTCACCCACTGGAGCCTGGAGCCTTGTTGTAGGAGGCAGCGAGAGCCCAACCAAGCTGAGGCGGTTCGTGGGGTCTGCAGTGCTTATGGTGTCAAGTGGAGTGCTTGGAGCCCTCGGGAAGCACTAGGAGCAACCATCAACGGAGGTACCCAGTCGGGGTGCCAGGTGATCTGTTACAGTCAGGCTCTACTAAGACTTGCAATAGAGGTCAGAGATGGTTAGCTAGTATCTTTGTAAAAAAATGTAAGTCTATGTTTATGAGGGAGATAGGGGCAATAGCTTCCGCAGTTAAGTCTTTCCCAGCTTTGGGTATGAGAGAAAAAGTGGGCTTCCAAGGCCGATTCTGGGAGAGTAGTAAAGGTAGTTAGAGAATTGAAGGCATTCAGAAAAGGATCAGTGAGGGTTAGTAAGAATGTTTAAAAGTATTTGCCTGTGAAGCTGTCTGGGGCAGGGCTTTTACCAAGTGGCAGGCCTGTAACAATTGTCTCAAACTCCTTTGTGAGTTTAGGAGTCAAAAGTTGGAAGAATGTTTCTAGGGATGGTGTGTTTTATTCTGGTAGAGAGGAAATGTTCTATACCCTGTTGTATGGGTGGTGTGTTGCGAATATTGTCAAAGTTGGTAAAGCATTATGAAAGGCTACCAGATTATCTTGTGTTAATTGAGAAGATTCTCCATGGGTTTTTAGATATTCATGATATAGATTGATTGCCTAGTGTTCTGCAGAGGTTTTGCTAATAAGTGGCCACATTTACTACCATGAGCATAGTATGAGTATTGCAGCAAGATTAACCGACGTAAGAATTGTGCGTTCAAAAGTTGTTGAAGCTCTGACCTTTTCCCTGTTAATTGTTTGTGTAAATCGAAGGAGTTGTGCCTCTTATTGAAGTTTTCTAGTTGTAAGTGAATTAACATGTTTGTCATGTTTTTTGAGCCTTGAAGCGAAAGGCAATAAGTTCCCCTTGAATAACGCATTTGTGTGCTTCCCAGGTGATTGTGGGTGATATTGATGGGTGAGTATTTTCTTTGAAGTATTGTTGGAGAGATTTGGTAAACTGAGATACTTTGTCTGGGTTGTTTAGAAAAGGTTCATTAAGTTTCTATGTAGGAGTTTCTATTGGTAGGAAGGGTGTCTGAATCACAAAAGACAGGGGTGAGTGATTAGACCATGTAACTGATCCGTATTCACAGGAGAGAATTAAGTGTAGGAATCTATGTGGTAAAAATAGCAAGTCTATTCTGGTGTAGGTTCCCGTTGCTGTGGAATAAAAGGAGTGGTCTCTGGACTGAGGGTGTGTGATATGCCAAGTGTCAAATAAGTTAATTGAGTTTAAAAGCCTAGCGCTTAGCATTTAGGGTGACCACATGGAGGGTAGCCATAACAACGCAACTGCAGAGCAGAGAAGCCCTGGTCCAACCCCACACGCAAAGCAAAAACAAACTATATACAATGAAAATAAATACAACAAAAATAAAACTGTAAGAACACAGAAATCAGTTAGAAATCACCAATCTCGATGGTAACTATCCCCTAGGGGAGGTAATAATCCACTGATAAATTATCCTAATAATGTTACACTGTCATGTATGCCTAAAAGGCAAAGGAATTGGTTAAGGAATTAAGAAGGAGGATTGATGTTAGTAAGGACAGAATGTTCTACCCTAGTATATAAGAAATTATCCGGGGCAATCAGGAATAGGAAATGGAACATAGATAACAATGTAGTGGGCTTAAAACAGTTATCAGTAGCCTGTGGTCAATATGAGGCATGAGTATCTGCTGATCTGATGTGAGTGGAGTAACTAAGGTTTTACCAGTGTTAGGAATTACATAATGGAATTAGTATATGGTTAATCTGGAATGACTCAAGGGTCAGTAAATTTTAATGCCAGCAAGGCTGGGTAAGCTCACCTATTTTCCACCTCAGTCAAAACCAAGCTGTTTAGTTTTTTGGGGGGGGTTTTTTGTGTGAGATAAAAGAGAACCGTAACACCATCTAACAACAAATAGTGTAGTGAATACCCCCATCCAAGTCATATCGGCATATGGTGGAATTCCACATGACTGCAATCCTAGGATATGTGGGGCCAGTCAAGAGTAGTATGAGGGAGAGCGGGTGGGAAGATATGGGTATGAAGTAAAGCACAGGCTGTAGGAAATAAAGAAGGGGAATGGAGGGCAGAAGGAGGGTGCATAGGCAGAGTCCTAACAGTTCCCAGTTATAATCTAAGCACATGTCATTATAAACATTGGAGACAAACAATAAAATAACCTTCTTGCTCATCCTGATGTGGCAGAGAGTTGTACTCCAGATTACCATGTGAAATATAGAGCAAGAGGTAGGTTTGAATACCAAAGTTAATATTTGTGGTGGTGGACTTGTGGATCAGACAGTAAGTGAATTGTCATCATGAGTTGTGTCTGAAGGCTAGGTTAACACATTTCTGAAGTTGGAAAAATGTGAGGCACAGCAATTTCAACAATGGTATGTAACATTTCCAAAGAGGGTACACTTGGGTACAATATGGTAAAAGGAGTAAGGGCAGACACAAATTCCTTTGTGGGTCAATATAAATAATTGTAATCCATGAGTTCCTGATCAGCAGAGTAGGGGAGAAGGTTAATGGTGGTTTGGAGTGCTTTTGGGGAAGGGTGATCCAGAATATGTGTCGATATGTTAATTCCTTCTTTTCTTGGCTGTAGATTGCCACTGTTGATGCTGTGGTAATTGTGAGGAGGGTGGGGTTTGCACCAGACCATACCAATCCTAAATATGGACATCTGGGAGATCCAGTGCTTGAGTGAAAGAAGCAAAGTCCTTCTCTGTATGGAGTACTTGTGGTTTTCCTTTATAAGTCACTAGCAACGCAAAGGGGTATCCCCACCAGTAGCTGGATGTGAGAAGGTCAGTCAGGGATGCAGTACACGTCTAGCTGGAAGACCTATCCAGGATAGGTCTGAATAGATTTAAATTTGGGTTGTTGTGGTACAGGAGAGGCTGGGAGGATTGATGCAGTATGAGCAGGATACCTTCTTTTAGTGTAAAATAGTGAATTCTGGATATTACATCTTTAGGTTGTATTGTAGGGGCACGGCAAGGGCCCAGGGCTCTATGTGCTCTGTCTAGTAGCACTGGGGTGTCAACGGTTGGTCTGTTTAAAATCAAATTAAATAATTCTTGAAGAGTAACAGTTAAATCAAATTAGTCCTGTTCTGGCATACCTTTAATGTGGCAGTTGTTATGTCTCCTCCTGTCATCTATCAGCCTATGCATAGTGAAGATTTGGGAGGTATTTGCCTCTACTGTCGCTTGTAGTTGCTGGATTTGAGAGCACAATAGATCTGTCACCCTCAAGGGTATTCACCCTGTCCCCAACATGGCGGATGACAGCTCATATGGTCTTTAATTTTGTTTGGAAGGACACTTCCAGCTTACTTAGCATTGCAGCCAGGATCCACTTCAGAGGCAAGCTTCTGATGATTGCCTTCAGGTCAGTATCGGCTGTAAACAGTGAGGCTTCTGTGCCCTCTGGACTGAATAAAAACCGAGCCAATGTTGGAGGATTCAAGCACCATATTGGGGCCTTGCGCGCCCACATGGAAGTCTGCATTATAGCGGAAAAACATACTAAGGGCGCACGATTTTCCAGCAGGCTGTTTTTTTTTATGTCTGGTGGGACGACAGGGATCATTTAGGGTGTCCTATCGTGGAGTGGGAGACCGATGATTGCTGAATAACTGTTCGATGCTACGGAGCTCTCTCAGAGTGTGGCCATTTAGCTCTGTAGTTGGCTCTGTCCCTCAATCAAGAGATCTTTTATGCTCTGACTCATGGGAGCAGAGTCTGTCAATCAATTATTTTTCTTTCTCTAGATTTTCTTTTAGACATTTAGAAGATATAGCAATCAGGACACCTCTAATATAATATTCTCATATTCTTTGTCTTCACCTCTAATATAAGCCTTACACACTGTCAATACTGTCATCTGTGATAAGCCAACTATATCAAAATATAAGTTGATTACCCTAAATACCTCATTGTATATACCTCATTGAGTCTTGCAGCAACCACTGAGGCCTGAGAAATTGCTGTGTAAACTTAAACAGCTAATTATAACTGCTGATCAGACTAAGGTTTTATAGGAATCTTACAGTATTACGCACAATATATACAGTGCTGCCATATGAAAAATAGATTATTGTTATGAGCGTAGCTATTGTGGGGATGTAAGTAAAAATGTGTAATCTCCAGGTATCCAGTAGAGATTGATTAAAGGTTATTCTTTTAAATAGCTCAGTATTCTAATCAAGTCAGTTAGGAATGCTAGTAGAGGGATGATCTAAAATCAGATTTAATACAGCATTAAATCCCCACCTACCCATACGAGGTATCTCTCCTACTAATATATTAAATTTAATACAAAATTCCATTTACATTTTTTTCAAATTGTAGGGTTTTTTTTGTAACATAATAGTACAACAAAAAGTCAGCATATGTTGCTACATTTGCATCACAGATTGATAACATGCATATTAAATATAGATAAAAATGTAGATTGCTAACATAAAGGCAGCCATAGATATAGGGTCAGCTATAAGATCCACTGTTTTAAACATGTCAACTCATACTGTAAGTCAAAACGCTAGTACGAAGGGGGTAACAGCCTCTCATGAGAGCAACAGCTCAACAACTGTTATATATTCGGTAACCTACACATGAATGGAAATCCTTAGTAAAGCTAGGTCTTGGCAGGAAAATACAAGAAGTTGCATTATCTCCAAAAAAACAAAACAAAAAATAAAAAAAAGTAATGATTCCATGTAATCTCTTTAACTAAATAATTGTTTCCAGAGCAATATTTTTTCTTTTTGATACAACGTAACCATTTTAGTATTTAACTTTGTTACCTTAAATTATTCATTCTTTCATTTTTTACATTGTGAAATGGAAATATTACATATTTCTAAGTAAATTTGCTTTTCCTGTGACTATTGGAAAAAAACAAAAAAATATATATATTAATCAATGGAACTAAACATTTTAAAAAAGAATTGTTAGAGTGCTTAGTCTGACCCTTTCAGAACGTTTTAAAACAGCCTGTGTGAATAGCTCACATCTTAATCTTTCAGTTTGTAGCACAACTTGTCTCCAGTGCACCAACGTAAATGGTAAAACATGTGAGGGAAAACCTGTGACTTGCGATGGGGATCGCAAATGCTTTGTGAGATCCAATTTTTTGCATTACCGTAAGTACAAAATATATGTTGAACTCAAAAGCTTTATAAAGTAATGATAATGATGGCATGTACCAATAATAGCCAATACCAACCTGTGTAAGGACACGAGAAATCAGCTGTCCATGTGCTTTTGAACACTCAGTAGATCTAAATGTCAGTGCTCATATTCTCCAGCATTGTAGGGTCTACTTCTCACAAACAGTGCCCAAGCACCATAACCACTTTATAATACTGATGTATCCATGGTGCTCGGGGTAACCTTCTAAGAATGGAGAGAAACCAGAGATGTTCTTTTTAGGGAAAGTAACAAGATTCTACAAATTATTTAATGTGGCGACGAAGGATGTTGCCAAATAATAAAACTAAGCAATCATGCTCGGATAGTTGGTGTAATTATGACATGATCTACTAAGAGGAACTTGAAGAATTGATGGGGATATGGTAATTATATGCAGCATTTTTTACACTGAGCTTGGATTCTATAATGGGATTTTGGTTAGATAAAGGCAGAGTGACCGTGAAGGACATGTTGGTAAGGATGTTGTCCTCATACGTATGATATTAACATTTAAATAATTAGTTTGCTAAAAGCAAATGTGTGGATGGAGAAGAATAATCTAGAATGGAACCTTGACTTTAAGGTACCGCCAACAGAGAGGGGTAATGGGGGAAGCACCTAAGAAAGAGCCAAAAAAATATCTGACAAAAACAATTTATCCCTGGAAAGTGCTGCATCACAGATGCTGGAAAAATATCAACACAATGTCTAGAAATTATTTTATTTGTAATGCAATGATGTTTATGTAACAAGTCCAAGATATAAATGTATTCTGCTGTAAACAATTTGTATTTAAATAAATATAGGCATTGAAAGACAAATATCCTAATTTATTCCTGCAGTTGGTGAAGATTCCAGTTCCATTACCAAGGGATGTGTTACTGAAAATATACCCTGTGATTATGTGGGTTATCTTGATATTGGCGGTGCTGATTCTTCTACATATTCAATGAATATTAAATGCTGTGATGGGGACAACTGCAACACCTTTGGTCATGAGAGTGAGTGTCCTTCATTTTTTTTCAAAGAGTTACTTTTAAACATTATGTTATATATATATATATATATATATATATATATATATATATTATATACTTATACTTTATATTTCGAAACCTACAAGACTTATTCAATAATTTGTAGGTGGGCGAGAGGGAGGCAGAGCCGATATGGTCTTTACGTACCCTAAGCTGTCCCCCTTCAGCGCCATTATCTTTCTCCCACTTCCCAAGAAAATAGTGAAGAGCAGAGGCTCTCCATATTTCTTGCCAGTTTATGCAGGGCCAGAACCCTGTTGTATGCCTTTTTTATGATCTCCCTCACCTGCTGGCACTAAAATGGAGTAGGGGATGGAGAGAGGGCGCTGGGGAGCTCTTGCCGGTCCTCTCCTTGCAAGCTTGGATCATTGCCACAGTTACCATGACAACTATCCGATCTCACGAGGGTGAACTGTAGCCTCAGAGCTGCAGCTGCAGGCTATAGTTCACTCCCCACCAGACCACTAGGGATTACAGGAAATCTCATAGTCAAAGGTAATAAGGGAGGGGGGATATAAAGTATATTTATTTTCAATTGAAAAAAATAATAGATATATTTGCTTTAATCTGCCTGCACATTCACACCCTTACACATACTGAACCCCTCATATACACAGACACATCCACACCCACACACAATGCACCCCTTACACACACACACATTGCAGCCCTCACACACTGCCCCCTCACACACACACTGCCCCCATACTCACACACTGCACCCTTCACACACACACTGTACCTTTCACACTGCACCCCTCACACACACACACTGTACCCCTCACACACACTGTACCCTTCATGTATACTGTCCCCCTGACACACATTTAATCCCTCACACAGACACTGTACAACTCACACACACTGACCCCCACAGACACACTGCCCTTCACAAACACACATACACTGCACCCCTCACACATGCACTCCGCCCTTCCCAAACACACAATGTACCCCACACACACACATACTACTACCCCTATCCCTTACTACAGACCTGATCCTGGGAGACCCCAGGTAAGTTGTTAAACTTGGCACTCCTGGCACCATAACCACTACAGAAGCTGTAATGCCTATTGTGCCTGGATTGTTCCTACCAGTGCCCCTCCCAAGATTATATTCTGGATCCTCCCTGCTTCAAACTGCACATGAAAATAAACCGTTTACCTTAAAAACTTAACACCTCATTTAACCTAACTCTAAACTCAATCCTAAACAGCCCTTATGCTACAACTTTTAACAATTTAAAGCTCTTAATCCTATTAACTCTAAACACCCTATGTAATCTCACACTTATGTTAAACACTCTCCAACCTTAACCACTTCTACCATTATCGGTAATTCTGCATGCATTTACACTGCTACACACACTCACTATACTCCCAAGTTCAAACACAATACATTACATGTAGAAATATGGATTTACATATTTATATACATAAGCAGTTGCCAAATGTGATTTTTTTTTGGGATGTTTCTAGGCCCGCGATATTCAGTAATTATATTTTTATATGTCTTCTTTTTTGGGTTGAGGAGCAGGGGGCACCTTATAATCATGTTCCTACAGGATTCTGACATGTAAATCTGGTCCTGGACAGGACACAAATTGCATTGGACTAGACAAAAGCAATGGGGGATATTTATCAAAGTGTCTCTGCAGCTTTTCTGGAATTTGTTTCTAAAATCAATTATGAGATCTAACAGTATTTTACACTATTTAGCAAGTGTTACCTTTTGTGTATGTATTTATTTTGCACCAGAACACTATTCTATATTCTATCATTTGTTTACACCACCCAAAAGCGTCCGCACGGGGTGTGCCAGGTGTGCCTGGGCACACCCTAATCCCGCGATACGCCTATGGATTGAGACCGGCAGGGGATTTCAGGATCTCCCCTGTTGGCTCATGCAGAGCCGCACCGGCCCATAGGCCAGTGGGGAGATCAAAGATCTCCCTCACTGGTTCACAGCTGCAGGAAGGGAGGCAGGAGAGGACCCAGGGAGCTCCAGCCAGCAGCTCCGCCGGGTTCCTCTCGTGAGATCTGAGTGTTGCCACGACAACGCTCAGATCTCGCGAGAGTGAACTCTAGCCCCGCAAGGTAGAGTTCACTCTCCACTGGACCACCAGGGATGGCAGCAGCAACAAGGATCCCCCCTCCATACATAAGGTAAGAAGGGAGTGGGGATATTTACTAAATGGCCCCCACTATACACACAATCACCCAAACATACAGCGCACACACACACACATATCACCCACACACATACAGCATTTACACACATACAGCACCCTCACACACACAGCACCCACACACATGCAGCACACAAACAGCACCTACACACAAAGCATCCATACACATACAGCACACAAACAGCATCCACACACACACATACAGAACACAAACAGCACCCACACACACACAGCAGACAAACAGCACCCACACACACAGCATCTACACACATACAACACCCTCACACACCCCCACACACACAGCCCACACACATACAGCACACAAACATCACCTACACACATACAGCACCCTCACACAAACAGCCCCCACACACACACAGCACTTACACACATACAGCACCCACACACATACAGCACCATCACACACACACACACACACACCACCCTCACACACACACAGTACACTAACAGCAAACACGCACACAAACAGCACCCTCATACACAGCACCCTCACACACAGCACATTAACAGCCCCCTCACAAACACACAAACACCCTCACCCACATAGCACACTACCAGCACCCTCACACACAGCACCCTCACACACACACACAGCACCCTTACACAAACAGCACCCTCACACCACCCTCACACAGCGCACACACACACACACAGCAGGCGTGTGTTTGTGCTTTAGGGTGCACACCCTAATGCAATATGCTGCACACGCCTATGACACCACCCTTAGCTTGTCTTAAGGAGTGAGGCAGAATATTCACACAGTAGTTTTAGTTACTTGATATGAGGCGCAAACATCTGTCAGAAAATACAAAGTACAAAACATCTTTGCTACTTTGCAGTTTGTAAAGAACAAGCTGTAGCGAGTTTTAAATAATTGTATTTTATTATTTCTTATTAATCACAGTTCCAGAGGAGAATGAAAAATTTGAAGGAAAAACTTGTCCAACCTGCGTGAAATTGAACTCGAACGAGGAATGTGTTCCAGAAACTGACATGGTGTGCAGGGGGAAAGATGACCTGTGCTACACCTATGTGGGTATCTGGCGTGACCAAGGTAAATTATGTAGATTTCAGTGTGTAACAAATGTAATTGAACAAGCTTCAATTACCTATTTTTATAATGCTTGTTAGATATAAGATAGAACAGATCTATGTACTGCATTTCTGCTTGTGTTCACTCCAAAATCTGTATTTGCGCAGAGAAGTGTAGGGTGGGACAGATCCAGTGGTCCATCTCTGGTAATCTAACGATCACAGAATAAGAACATTTCCAACACTTTTTTTTATTATTTGGTTTATATAAACAAAAGGAGGAATAAAGAATATACAATCCAAAACAAAATACAGAAAAAGATATTCATGTATTCATATAATAGTAATACAGTAAGTAACTGTAAGTTGAACATCCCTACAAGCTTTGAACATCCCTACAAACAAGATGAACAGAATATGACAATATAGTGAAAAAAGAAACAGAAACAGAGGGAAAGATAAATGGAGTAAATACATATTAAGGAGAAACACTTTAAAGGAATATGTAACTTGCATTGGAACGGAATATGAAAAAAAAGCACATTTGTTAACAGAAATGGGGAAACATGGAGAATGAAAAGTTAAAGGGACACAGTACTGCCTAATAAAAAAAAAAAAAAATCACTGTTAAAAACATGCCTGCATTTAGTTATGCATTTTCTTTTCCATTGGAGGTATAGCTAAAAACAGCACACAAAAGCTGAATATCTTTTGCCTGCAGCTTTTTCAAGTCCCCTGCCCTCCCTAATCCAGCTCAGACTTTGTGGCTGTCCAATTACAGCCTTCCCAGTGCAGCTACATGAGAAGTCTTTGGAAGGCAGGTGCTCTGAGCAATTGCTGCCTCTTGATTTTAGCTCCACTGAGCTAAACAAACTAGGAAGTGTCAAGAACCAGTTGTCTGATTGGCAGCAAGAGAGTGGTAACAATGTTGATTTATAAAAGTGCCAATTTCTATCTGCACATTTTGTTAAAAAAAAAAAGTTTACACACACCAAGGATTTCAGCTAGCTAAAGTGCTTAGAGGTCTGGAGTGTCCCTTTAAGTAAGGTCTAAGTGTTTACATTGCTACCTAGGAACATCTGTGGGTGCAATCACTCAGGTGCTTCCTGGGTGGAGCACTGACGTTTAGCATCTCCACACTTTGCATGGAGACACTGAACTTTCTCACATAGATGCATTAAGTCAATGCATCTCTGTGATGATATGCTGATTGACCAGAGCTGTGTTTTGCCGTGCATTCGCAATGGGCTCCGATTGCTTGATAAAGGCATCTGTCTAGTTCGCAATGTTGCAGTTTTTATCACAACAAATATGCCTTCCTGCAGCAATCCTGAGTGTCTGGGCCTATTTTATGTTATCTTATATGGTAATAAAAGCAAGGATTTTCATACGTGGGGAAAATGGAACAATGACCATCTAGAATACCTCCTAATATGGTCATTGTTCTTATAATGTAAGTTTAGGTTTTACGGTCTATTCTAGACTTTTGAACCAAGCAATTCCAAATTAACCTGGTTTGCTCATTCTTCAATATCTTTCCCCTCCTGAGACTCAACATACTCAACTTACATCAAAACAACACATTGGCACCCATCCCTAGGCCTGCAACCACATCCTTTTATTATCACTAACACGACTATAAGGGGGAAAACATTGTTACAAAGTAGTACAGCATAGTTCAGAAAAAGAAAAATAAGTCTTTTAAAAATTAGTTTGTACTCTTTTGGTTATATGCTATAAAATTACTGATAGTAGCAAGATGGCTGACAGCAAAGCTCTGCCAGGTTCAATATTTTATCAATAATATCACTTAAAACACTAGCAGATGTTTGCAACTAAAACATTCCGACACAGGCGTTGACTTTCTACATTAAAGTCAAAGCCACCTCCACCGAGCCTGACCACTATTTAGTATTTAATGTTTTGAAAATTGTATTTTCCAGTTCATGAGAGTTCAAAATACATGCTTAGTGAAATATTTTATTAACTTTTCATAAAAGACAACAGATTTAAAAATGATCAATGCAAGGTATAGTGGGATATGTGACAACAACAGTGCCAAATAAAAATTCTGTCTAGATTTTAATACTTTTTAATATTTTACAGATAATATATAAATTATCTTTGTAAATGTAAATTCAGTTATCTATGAACCATATTATACAGTGTTTAAACATTGTGCGTTTTCTTTATTTGATTTCTGTTTCATTTCATCTTTACAGTTGGCAATGAAATACACAGTTCTGAGAAAGGATGTTTGGAAACGTTTTTATGTAAAGAACTATTTGGTTTGGCAACCGGCATGGAGGCAGTCCAAACAACTACCTTTACTTGCACTTAACTTTAAAAAAAGAAATAACCTATTCTAATAAGGTTTGTCATAACCAAAACAAACTTGTAGTTACTGATTAACAAAATGATTTGTGTTTTGGTGAAAAAAATAAATAATTGCAATTACCACAAAATAATTAAATAATAAATTCAACCAATGTAACATTTTCCGAAGTTGAACTGCTTATTTAATTTCCTCTATATGATGGACTAATTTGTGACTGAGATGAGTAATTGAGCCTCTCTGCTGATTCTGAAATATCCAGAGAGGAGCTGAAGAGACAAATGCACTTTCTCTGTCTCCTCAGCTCCTCTCCAGGCATATTGGTTTGCCGAGAGAGACTGATAATAAATAATAGTTGTTGCTAGTTGTGTAACTCCCACCAAAGTTTGATAAGCCATGACATGTATATCACTGGAATTCGGGCTCCTGCATGGAATTTGAAAACATGATACCTCTTCTCACTCAAATGGCATTTACCTGTTTTGTACATTACTACAAATAATACTCATATTTGTTGGCAAATACTCCAAAAAATATAAATAATTAAAATAAAATATAAACGGTGGGGTTATTAAATTGTTCTGTTTTTAGAAGTGGTGTAAAATATCTTTACGGATTCCACTGGCTTCCAATGTGATTGGCCCGGTTTTATTACTTTAAACCTTTATCTAGAAATTGATCCCAATGATACTTCCCACTCTACCCATCAATGTAAAGCAATTATACATTTGCTACATAATAGTATGTTCTACTTTTTAATTACCATGAGTAAAACAAAATGTCTTATGATGAAACTTCCTTTTCTTGCATTGTAAAGGATACTGCTTGATGGATATTTTATATATGATGGAGATTCCCAATAGAGTCATTGAATAAACCCTGAATACATGATAAGAGGGCTGCACTCACCTGAGCATACATACATTATAGGGTGCTGCTGGAGCCAATTCATAGAACATGCAAAATTTCGCTCACTTACTAAACAGCAGTTTCAGGTTTCATAGAATGTAATAGTTTTATTTACAAAACACATAATTTAAGCAAAAAGGATTTAGTTAAAGTATATGATCATACATTGCATAATCCTGCCACAGCATCAAGGTACCCTATTCTTGGCAGGTCCTACTCTAACATTCTAAAGCCTGCTCTTATGAGATTAATCCACTTACTTGGGAAATGCTTCCTTACCGGGACTCTCTGCAGGTGAGTGGCACTCTTGGTTTCATGCATATATATTTGGGAGTCTAAATATAGAGCGCGTACTCTACTAATAACTACATTATATCATCAAACACTCACAACTAATAGTCTTTGGACAGCAGGGGCTGCCATTGTCTAAGGATTGTTCTTCATTAAATACCACCAGTGAAAATGCTAATTACCAAAGCAATAAAAAAAAGAAAGACCTCTAAACTCTTTGACATAATTTTATCAATTGGAGCCATGGAAGTCTAGCAAGTCTGAATTTTGGAAATTCAATAAATTGGAAAGTTTATCCAACAATATAACATTTAGGCCAATTAAGAAATTGAGAGAGGTTGACTGGACTACTGAAGACACTGGTCAAGGATCCTGGTACTTATCTCTCTCCATCAGTCCACTTAAGCTCCAAAAAGGCCTTTTATAAATGCTGAAAACAGATGCCCTCTCGAGGAAAAGTGATTGTTGACAGGTGCCTACTCTGCCTAATGGTCAATCTAGCCCTACGTTCAGAGCTCTCTGTGATGTACATAAAACATTGGAATTATATACATTTAACATGGGTGCATTATTTTTAAGGGAACTCCACCCTCCCCCAGAACAGTCTACATTATGTATTATTATTATTATTATTATTGCCATGTATATAGTGCCAACACATTCTGTAGCACTTTACAATATTATGAGGGGGGAGGGAATTTAACTATAAATAGGACAATTACAAGAAAACATTCAGGAATAATAGGTTAACGAAGACCCTGCTCAAATGAGCTTACAGTCTATAGGAGGTGGGAGTGAAGCAGAGCTAGAGGAGAGAGTAGAGTGCTGCCCTTTAGGTGAGAGCAAGAGACAGGTATGTGAGGTAGAGGTTACTCTGGGAGGTCATAAGCTTTGACAAAGAGATGGGTTTTAAGGCACTTCTTAAATGATTGAAAACTAGGGGAGAGTCTGATGGAGGAAGGCTGGCTATTCCATAGGAAGGGATCTGCAAGCACAAGTTGACCATACGGGTGCGAGCAGTGTACAGGAGAAGGTCACGGGCAGAGCGGAGGGACCGAGAAGGGACATACATATGGATCTATGAAGAGATATAAGAGGGGCTAGAATTGTTCAGTGTGTTATAGGTATGGGTTAGCACTTTGAATTGACTCCTATAGGATACAGTAAGCCAATGTAAGGACTAACAGAGGGGTGTGGTGTGAGAGGACCGACTAGAGAGGAAAATCAGTCTGATGCTGACATTCATTACAGACTGTAACAGGGCAATACGGCTTTTGGGAAGACCAATCAGGAGAGGGTTACAATAACCCATGCAGAAAATTACTAGAGCATGGACAATCTCCTTGGTAGCATCTTTCGTAAGAATGGGGTGGATGCAGGCTATGCTTTTAAGTTGAAATCTACAGTATTCTACAGTGACACATTGCAGGATGGCAGGGGAGAGGTCCGAGGAGGAGAGATGTATCTGGGTGTCATCAGCGCACAGGTGGTAGTGGAATCCACAAGTGGCAATACGTTTGCCAAGAGAGGCAGTATAAAGAGAAAATAGAAGGGGACCAAGGACAGAGCCTTGAGGGACAGGATGAGGGGAGGAGGTATCTTTGGAAAAGGAGACACTGAATGAGCGTTGGGAGAGATAAGAAGAAAACCACGAGAGGAGAGAGTCACAGAGACCAAGTGATTAAAGAGTTTGAAGAATGAGAGCATGATCAATGGTGTCAAAGGCAGCAGAGAGGTCAAGAAGAATTAGTATGGAGTAGTGGCGTTTGGATTTAGCTATGATTAGATTGTTAGTAACTTTGATAATAGCAGTCTCAGTACAGTGGAGAGGGCAGAAGCCAGATTGAAGAGGGTCAAGGAGAGAGTTGGAATTGAGGAAGCGAGACACACGAGTAAAGACAAGTCTTTCCAGAAGATTTGAGGAAAAAGGGAGCAGGGACGGGTCAAGAGATATTTTTTTCAGGATAGGTACTACAGTGGCATGTTGGCATGTTTAACCCATTAAGGACCAAACTTCTGGAATAAAAGGGAATCATGACATGTCACACATGTCATGTGTCCTTAAGGGGTTAAGGTCAGCAGGGACAATGCCAGAAGAGAGAGAGCAGTTGAAGATGTGTGTTAAGGAAGGCACAAGACAAGGGGAGAGAGATCTGATGAGGTGAGATGGGACAGGGTCGATCAGGCAAGTGGTGGGGTGAGAGGAAAGGAGCAGTGCAGCCACCTCTTGTTCAGTAGCTGGGGAGAAAGTCTGAAAGATAGGAAAGGCATGATCTATGTGTGGTTGAGAAAGAGAATGGCAAGGTGGGGAGAACTCTTTCCTTAGCTGTTCAATCTTGTCGGTAAAGTAACATGCAAAGTTATCAGCAGTAAGGTTAGTTTTTGGGGGTTGGCCACAGCAGGACGAAGAAGAAAATTAAAGGTGTCAAAGAGACGCCTGGGATTGCGTGAGCATGAACTAATTAGAGAGGAAAAGTATGACTGATTGGTGAGCGCAAGGGCTGCGCTGTATGAACACAATATGAATCTATAATGGAGAAAGTCTGGCTGGGTGCGAGACTTTCTCCTGGAGCGTTCAGCACAAAGGGAGCAACTTTGCCGATAGTGTGTTGATTTAGTATGCCACGGTAGGGGGCGTGTCCTCCTCGAGGTGCATGTTTGGAGCGGGGCTGCAGCAATAAAAAAGGCAGAGGTAAGGGTAGTGTTATATGTGGAGATGGCCAGTGAGGGACAGGAGAGGGAAGAGATGAATAGCAGTTGTGAATTAATATCAGCTGACAGCTGCTGGAGGTCAATAGAATTAAAGTTCCTCCTGAGTTGAGGGGGGTTAGGCTGAGGTTGTTGGGTGAGGGGGTAATCGAGAGCAAGCGATAAGAGGTGGTGATCAGAGAGAGGAAATGGAGTGTTGCAGATATTATATACTGTACATGCATAAGAGAAAATGGCATTGAGGGTATTGCCAGCTACATGGGTGGGAGAATTAGCCCACTGCAATAGCCCGGGGGAAGAAGTAATTGAAAGTAGTTTAGAGGTTGCTGAGGTCAAAGGTGGGTTAATGGGAACATTGAAGTCCCCAAGAATTAGGGATGGATTATTAGAAGAAATGAAGTAGGTTAGCCAGGCAGCAAAGTGGTCAAGGAGGAGAGGGAAACCAGGGGGATAAATAACAGCAATGTTAGCAGAGAAGAGTTTGAAAAGGCGAATTGAATGAATTTCAAATGATGGAAAAGAGAGGGAAAGGGAGCTGACTATCCCTTATCACTGTTTACCCAGTAAATACCATGCTTTAATGGCTCAGTTAAAGAACACATGTTAAATAACTTTGTTTTCCTCAAAAAATCAAGTGACGAGTATCAAGTTTATTTTACAAGAGGCACAAAATGGCTGCTATGCGGTTCAATTTAATACAATATAGCTGAAGCTCGGATTTACTTAACAGTTCAACATTCTAGAGCAATATGTCTGACATCACAGTGAGATATGAACTCAGGGGAGGGAACACTTATGTCAGTCTGTTGGGGTACAATAGTATTAAGTTTATGTAAGAGCATAACAACGGGAAAAGATTATGCTATAGTCACAATATAATATACACCAAAAGTGTTATATCCTACATACTAAATCATTGATAAAATTCATAAACCACATATATAAAGCCATAAAAATAAAATATTAAAATAGTGACAAAAACTATAAAAAGTTAGAGTGAATAATCAAATCCATTTAATAATGGTAAAGAGAGCTTTATTTACATGATCTTTCTTAAGCTGTTGTAGCACAAATTTTCTGCATTTTTTTATTCAGTCAGCATTTTCATATCTCTTGCCATAGGATCCTCCTTCATTATCTAACACACCCATCTCTGTTTTCAGTGTACCTAAACTTTCACATTTGTTTTAGTTTTGTTTTTTCAA